GAACCAGCTCAGGGACGTGGGGGCTGTACAGGCCCAGGGCAGAGACCAGGCTTGGGAAGCGGCTGCTCTGAGTGTCACCTCACCTCTCCTTGCCCTGGGACCTGGGCTCACACCTGGGTTTCATGGGGAACCCTGCAGGGGGTGCTGAGCCCAGGCAAGGACTTTGCCCAGGGCCCCGCACACAGCAGGGGCTCAGGGGCTGAAGACAGGAGTGTGGGAGAACTCACTCACCTGGCTTTCCTTATTTCTCTACAAAATCAGGAAGGAAAACTGGGGGACATGGGAGTCACAAAGTCTCCTGAATGGATCTCAGTCTATGCGATGCTTTTTGTGAGTGTGGGCTCCAGGGGGTGAACCCAGGCTCACTTCCTCCTGAGCTACTCCCCTAGCCCTTTTTATTTTTTAAGACACAGTCCCTCCAAGTCCTTAGGCCCTTTCTAAATTGCTGAGGCTGGTCTTGAACTTGGGATCCTCCTGCCGCGGTCTCCTGAGTGGCCGGGTGTACAGGTATGTGTCACCATGCCCAGCTGCAGTTTTTTTTCACTAAAGCCCTGTTCTTCTTAACTTGACTCTTGGAGGACAAACAGGATTTTAAGTGAAGCTTCAAATTTTGAAATCAGAAGACAACAATGCCCCACAGGAGGGAGTAAGACGCACATATTCTTCCCTGTGCTCTCTTCCTGCCTTGTTGCCCACTGAAGTTGAGTGGGCGCGCCCCTGCCGTGGCCCCTGGGGCGCAGCACAACAGGAGGAGCTTGCAGCGGACCCTGTATAGGAGCCTCTTTGGAGCCCAAGCAGCAGCTGATCTTCTGTTTCCATAGGAAAAGGAGTGATGGTGGGGTCTTGTGGGGGGACTGGGACTGGGAAGAGGAGACATGGCCTTGAGGATCCTCAGCCAGGAGCCACAGGGGGCTCTGGTGAGTTTCCCCTGCACCTCCTCCTGGGTTCCGAGTGGAGGGGCAAGCAAGAAGGCAGGACGCCATTCCCTGACTGGTCACCCCTGCTCCATTCTCAGGGCTGCTCCAACTTCCGGCACAAGAGCATCAATTATGTCAAGGCAGCACATTGGAGCTGGCCCTGAAAACCCCCCACAGCGACGTGGGCACCTGGCTCTGCGGTTTGCCTCCTTCTGCCCTCCAGCACTCCTCCTACTGTCTTGTGTTGAACTTCATGAACAACTATTGGGAAACAGGTAAAAGAGCTTGAGTCCACAACAGCTGAGTAACATCCAGAGCCAAGTCTTGCTCAAGAACACTCTGGTAATAGTCCACCCACCTATAATCACAGTGTATTCCTCAGCCATTAACTTTCATGAGCGTGTTCCGTGAGCCAGGCATTGTGCTGAACAGACAGATGCCTTGGTTCCTGCAGAGCACAGCTCCCATTGTCCTGGAGAGGGCAGCCCAACGCCAAGTCAGCAGGCAGGAGGATTGTAAGAGTGACAGGTGCAACAGAGGAGGACCCGGGAACAAAGGGAAGGTCGGCTAGAAACGCAGAATCCTACAGGCACCAGGGGGCGCTGTCGGGCCGGCAGATAGGAGAGCAATGAAGGCCAGCAGGGCAGGAGTCCTGTGGGAGAACAGGGCTTGAGATGCAGCCGACCTGGAATCAGGGAGCTGCTGATAGATGCATGAGGTAAAAATGAAGCAGAAGGGACCAAGGGCATTGCTGAGGGTTCTGGCTAAACAAGGAAGCTGCAGGGCTTTTTACTGAGATTTTGGGTCAATAGGGGATGGGGAAAGGAAATATTTGAGGTGGAAACTCAGGAGGCTGTGATTATCCAGAGGTGATGGCAGATGCACCATTGGAAATGCGAGTCTGGAGCTTAGAGCTGTCTCGACTCGACATTTTTGTCCAGATTTTGCCCGTAAATGCAAATGTTTCTGATTATTCTTCCTGATTGGCATTGACAAAACCCCTTGGCCAATCAATAGCAGCATTTCCCTGCCTAAGACTGTGTCAGTCTGCACTGGGAGACAACCTCCCTCCCACCCGCCATCAGGCAGCAGCTGCAGTTGCTACTTGTTTAAGGTCCAAAGTCCTAGGGTCCTCTGCTGTGATGCATGCAAATTTTGTAGGTCAAAATTTGGTAAGTCAAAGCGGGTGTTGATGGGGGCAGCCATATGCCAGTGGTGGGAACATCAGGTAAGGGAATAATTCTATAAAATGGCCCCACTGTGCTGACCCCCACATGCTTTCTTTTCCAAGGAGCAATTTACCTGCAGCTCTGCCAGGCTTAAGAGGGCAGGGCATGTCAACAAACCACCTTTTATCTGCAGGAGAAATTCAGGCCTGAAATAATTCCAATAAGAGGATCACAAGTTACCCAGAAGGGTGGGCTTCTGTGGACCTTACACAGATCAGATCCCAGAACTCAGGGAAATAAGGATAATTCCCCCGACCATAAAATCTGTAAGAACAGGTTCCAGTTGGAACCAGTTAGCATAGGCCCAAGTGACCTAGAAAGGTCATGGCAGTGGGGACTTGAAAGTCTGATGTCATCCTGCTGTTAGTTAAGAGTCAAGGGGTGGAACTGGATGGGACTCTCTGGAAACTTCCCTGGGACCCTACAATAAAACTGAAGTGTGGGAGGGGTGTGCTGTCCCTCTCCTCTCTGAGGGGACCCACTCTCTCCCTGAGAGTACCTTTGCCCCTTTCCCGTCCCTCTAATAAACTCATGCCTGCTTCTCTGAGTGACATGTCTGAGGTCTTTCTGACTTGATCACAAGAATTGGGGTTTGAAGTGGGGCTTTTCATGCTGCCTCAGTTTCCCAGAAGTTCCCTGGCCTGTAACAGTAGGACAGGGACCACCTGTCCTGCAGGCGTCAGGACTCAGTGTGGCCCTAGCCTCAGCGGCCTCCCCTGGGATGTGATATTGCTTCTTGCTCCCTGGGCAGGAGGTGGAAGTTCTAATTCCTGCTGATCTTTCCTATGCCTATGACTGTCACTCTACAGATCAAGGAATCATGGCCAAATCCAAAGTTCTGAAGCTGTCCCTGGCACCACCCTACCTGTAGGAGTTCAATAGTTTGAGGTCTTCTATTTAGGTCGCTAGTCCATTTTGAGTTCATGTTTGTATGTGCTGTAAGGTGGGGTCCAACCCCATTCTCTGGCATGGAGATAGCCAGTTTCCCAGAACCGTGTTGAAGACTGTCCCTAGGCCAACGTTTAGCATCGGCAGCCTTGTTGAAGATCATGGGCCACATGTGCAAGTCAAGCGTTTACTGCTGGGCTCTCTGTTGTGTTTTGTGGGTCTGTCCTCATGTCTCACCTCCCTGTCTTTGTTACTTTGTTTCATAGCATGTTCTGAAATCAGGGAGCGTGAGTCTCCAACTTTGTTCTCTTTCAAGATCATTTTGGCTTGTAATTCCATACAAATTTTAATATGAATGTTCCTATTTCTGCCAAAAAATGTAATTGGGATTTGATAGAGATTGGATTGAATCTGTAGATTGCTGTTAAAGAAGATCTCTATCTTCTTTGACAACTTCTCCCTCCTCCCCCCTCCCCCATCCTCTCCCTCCCCTTTCCCTCCTCCTCTTCCCTCTCCCCCTCCCCCCCCCTCCTCCCACTCTCCCTGTTTGGTCATTTTCAGTATACAGGTCTTTCACTTCCCTGGTTAAGTTTAAATTCTTAGGTATTTTATCCTTTTTTGTGCTGTTGTAAAAGTTTTTTTCTTAATGTCATTTTTTGAATTGGTCACCGTTACTGTAGAGGAACACAACTGATTTTGGGGTGTTGATTTTGTATTCCAAAACTTGGCTGAATTCATTTGTTCTAAGTGTTCTGGCGGAATCCTTGGTGTTTTCTAAGTACAAGAGCATGCCGTGTGGGAACAAAGAGAGTTTTCTTCTCCTTTTCCAACTCCCTTTTCTTTTCTTCCTCTTTCTCTCCTGCTGGTGTTGCAGAACTTCCACTGGTGTGCTAAGGGTTCACTAGTGGTGAGGATGGGCATCCTGCCTGCTCCTGATCTTGGAGGATCAGGCTCAGTTTCCCCATCGAGGACGATGGGAGTTGTTAGCATCTTGTGCCACTCTTTGTCATGCTGTGGTAGTTTCCTTCTATTCCTAGCATGTTTTTATAAAAGCTGGCCAGATCCTGCCAATGCCTTCTCTGCCTCTGTTGAGATGATCATGTGCTTTTTGACCCTCCTTTTGTCACAATGACTGATTTCTATGTGTTGAACCATCCTTCCATTCCAGGCTCACACCCACCTGGCTACAGGGAGCAGACTTTCACTGTGCTCTCAAATTTGTTCTGCTAGTGTTTTGTTTAGGATCTTTGGGTCAGTACTTATAGGAATATTGGTCTTCAGTTTTCTTCTCTCATTGTGTCCTCCTCTACTTTTGTGTACCTTTGTCAGGGTAAATCTGGCCTGGCAGGATGGGTGTGGGAGGGGCTTCTTCTCTTTAGTTTTGTGGAAGTGTTTGAGAAGAGCTGTGTTCCTGCTTCTTTCAACGCTTGTAGAATTCTCTGGTGCACGTGTTTGGTCCTGAACTTTCCATTGCTGGCGGGTATTTGATTACAGCATTCATCTCCTCACTAGTTACAAGTGAGCTCAGATTTTCTATTTTTTCATGATTCAGTCTTGGTAGATTGTCTGTTTCTATGAATTTATCCATTTCTTCTAGGTTATTCAATTTTCTGCTCTTTTTTTTTTTATTCAAAGTTATACACTAGTAGAGTATATCTGAGCATGTCATGCCAAATAAAATTATTAGCATGATTTCAAAAGGATCGTCCAGCAGAATACAGCAAGAGCTACTTTGCAGTTGTGGGATGCAACTCAAAACCCACAAGCCACTGTCTGCACTTTATTTTAAAATGAAGTTCAATTTTCATGATCAAATGTTTCCACGATTAGAACAGAAAAACACAAGAGATTTAGAAATAAATTGAAAATGTAAAAGGAAGCAAAACCGAACACATTTCTGGGAAATACCACGAACAGTTTTTGGTATTCGGCTCATAATCATTTGTTTGTTTACCGAGTACCTTGGCTGCCCCTGTAGGAGACATGGACACTGCTGTTCAAACTGCAGGGCCTGTTCAGGCGGCCACCTCCCTGCAGTTTCTTACAAAGGGCGGGTTCTGTTCTTGGCAAGAGAAGTCATCCAGACTTCTGTGACCTCCAGGCCTCTGGGCTGCCCGGCCCCTTCCGTTCTGCTCCGCAGCCAGGCCTCATTTCCTTTCCCTCCTTCTCTTGTTTGGCCTCTGTGGGGACAAGCAGGGGCAAGCGAGTCCCCAAGTCTTTTCAGTTCTAATGAAAAGTCCCAGTGCCAGGGGCTGGGCGAGTTGCCTTGGCATAGGAGAGTGGACCAGGGCCAGCACCCCAGCTGGACAGACTCCCGGCAGAGCTTCCCTCGCCAGCACACGGAGAAAAGGGTCTGGCTGGAGAATCCGCGTCCCCTGTGCCACCTCTTGAAGGTGACACCCCGTGAGTACTGCTTAAAGGGTGGCTTCATCTCCCTCCGACTCAAGTCACAAAGACAGGACATCTTGCAGTCAGTCTTGCTGCTGGAAGGAAGATGTCGAACTGAGATTTGTCTGTGGCTTGGCCGACAGCCAGCGGACACCACAGGTCGCACAAGAAGCCTGTCACTTAGAATGCTTTCAGAGGCTCCTGATCAAATGGACCCCAAGGGTCCGGATAGGAGGGCTCACCTTCTTCTCTCCAGAGTCTAATCACTCAATCTCTAAATGGTCCTAACACCAACAGGAGCTGAGAGCTGGCTGGTCTAGGAGAGTTCCGGTCTTCTCTGCTCCTCGGCTCTTAATCAAATTCTCTAAAATTTAGAAGAAATTCTAACTCTGTTGTGCTGGTGAGAGCGCAGTAACTGCAGTTCAGTTTCTCTCACGTTTGGAGGGCAGCCTGGGGTGGGAAAAGATGGAGGAGGGGTCTGCCCCACTTCAGTTCCAGTTCCTGGCTGTGTGACCTCAAGCAAGTAATTTGAGCTCTCTGAGCCTTTGTTTGTTCCTGTATTGCAAGAAAGCCAAAGCAGTTGAAGAAACCCTTGCATGGCAGATGATGAAGGCCAGCTTTCTCAAGGGAGGTGAGCAGATGATGAAGGCCAGCTTTCTCAAGGGAGGTAAGCAGTAACTGGAAAGCAAGCTAGTTCCTCGCAGGGCTCAGGGCTGTTTCCCTTCCAGGGCTCTTGCTTGGCATCGCTCCATGCTTAATTCTGAAGATCACTCAAACAGTTACAGTTAAATGCAGATCAATATCAGTTCTCAAAAACAGAAGCCACTGCCACTTACTCAGCTGGCTGAGCGTCAGCTCTGAGCCTGCCACAGGCGCTGGGTTTAAAGATCTGGATCCCAGAGGGGCATGGGGCCTCTGCCTGGGGCAGCTCACAGGCTGCTTAGGAAAGTCCAGCCAGTGAGTGGGACCCGGTCATGTGAGGAGAGCAGGCGAAGGGAGGGCCTTGCTGTGACACTGCATGACAAAGCAGCAGTGGAGAAGAGGCCGGGGTGTGGGAAGCCCAGGGCTGCTCTGTGCCTAGGGCCAGGGTATGGTTGGGGCATGGCCAGGACGGGGGTGCTGCTGGCACGATGCTGCCCAGAAGAGGCCTGAGTAAGGGCCGCCCTTCCCTTCCCCTTCCCCTCCCCCTCCTTCTCTTAGTCTTTTGAGTCTTCATCCAAAAGGAAGTGGGAGGCATTGAAAGCTTTGGAACAGAGCCGTGAAGGCATTATCAGTCTTTGAGGTAGAGTTCTCCATGGATGCTTCTCTACAGAAGCATAGGGTGGAGACTGGCCATCGGGAGACCCGCAGGCTGATGTCCTGGTGCAGAGGCCAAGGGCCTGGGCCAGGTGGAATGGAGGACTGGGTTGGTCAGTCCTTCAGCACTGAATCGAATACCTCGATAATCAAGTTGTAAAGAGAAGAGGTTTAGCTTGGCTCGGTTTTGGAGGTTCAATCAGTGGTCGGCTGGCCCCGTTGCTGTGGGCCCATGGTGAGGCAGCGCATCATGGAGGGAATGTGGGGGAGCAGGGCTGCCCACCTCATGGACAGGGAGCAGGAAGAACAGGACAAGGAGAGGACCTTTTCCCCACGGTCCCCCTCGAGAGCACACCATTCAACAGCTTAAAGTCTCCCAGGAGACCCCACAACTTGAAGCTTCCACCAGCTCCCAACAGCAGCTCACTGGGGACCAAGCTGCTAAGACAGGGACTTGGGGGACATTGAAGACCCGGACCATAGCAGGGACCATTAGTGACATCTGAGATAGGATGTGACATCAGGAGAAGGAAGGAGGTGGGAGATGAGGTGTGAGAGAGGGCTTGTCACAAAGAAGGCGGACGTCAAAACCGTGGTGCTCAGGGGAGGGAGCCGGACACGGCAGGTCACGCACTGCGCGATTCCATTTTTCCAAAATGTCCCGAAAAGGCAGCTCTAGAACCTACAGAGACAGAACCTGGAGGACTGTTGCCAGGGGCTGGGAGCAGAGAATGACTGCCGATGGGCACGTGGTTTCTTTGGGGGACGATGGCAACATCCCCCAAGTTAGATAGTGGTCATGGTCACATGACTGCTCTGAACAGCATTCAGCAGCACACTTCCAAGGGGTCTGTTTGATGGTGTGAAAATCATACTCAACAAGCTTTTTAAAAAAGAGAGCAGTATTGAAAGGCCTCGAGGAATTATGGAGGAGAAGCAGCCTGGTTAACGCTGCCGGCTGAGAACAACGGACCTCTGTCCGCCTGAGCCATGTGAGAAGTGTTCATTCATCGTCTCTTTTAATATGGACCCAGTGTGAAAATTAGGTGCATTTTTTTTCCAGTTTTACAGATGAGAGACCAAGACTCAGGTTTGAGGGAACATGAATAGGGTCAGGCAATTCACACGTATGAAAATCCAAAGGTTGAACTCGTCGTCAGTGCTGGTCTAATAGGATCAGTTAACTCTCCCCCGTGCAGCCATCCCTTGGTCCACAGGGAACTGGTATCAGGATGCCCCACAGATACCAAACTCTACAGATGCTCGAGCCCCCTCTATAGAATGGCATGGTCTTTGCATCTGAGCCGCGAATGCCCTCTTGTGGACTTTAGATCATGTCTGGGTGACCTACAATTCCTAACTTGATGTCAGTGCCACACGAGCAGCTGTTACTGTGTTGTTTAGGGAATAACGATAAGAAAAATGTCAGTGTTCAGTACAGAGGCAGTTCTTTTAAGGGTATTTTGGCCAGTAGTGGCTGAACCCACATGCAGAACCTGCAGGCATGGACGGGTGACCTTGTCCCCGGCCGCAGCCACGGAAGGAGCCCTCCCAGGGACAGCTCTGTGTTGGTTGCTCTTGTTCTCATTTTACAGATGCAGAAGCTGAAGTTCAGAATTGATCAGTGACAGCTCAGGGCCAAGCAGCCAGGGAGGAGGCAGCTGGGACCCTGAGGGCTGGCCCAGGCCGAGCTCTGAGCACTGAGCACCTCCTTCCCCAGGGTCTGGGAGTCCCTGGACTGAGAGCCTGGCTCAGGGCCAAGGTCACTGTGGAGGGAGGACTTCAATCTGCCTTCTGCTGAGTCAGTGGAGGGGGCTGTGCCCAGAGCCCATGGGCCAAAGACCAGAAATGTTGGTGACAGGCCGAAAGAGAGGCTTAGCACGGCAGTTCTGGGTGCTGGCAGCCCTTGGACCTCGGACCTCAGAAATCTGCAGGCCACACTGTTTTGCAGGGCATGGAGTCAAAGTGACAGAAACCAGAGAGGGCAGAAGATTGTGCATTGCCCAAGTTCAGTGTTTTCAACAAGCTGACAAGGCTGACGCCAGAGCTGTCATCTAAGTTGGCCTAAAGTCAAAGGTCATCGGCCCCACCAGGGCTTTGTACCCGAGCTTCCCATGCCCAGGCTGAAAGAAAACCTGTTCCTGGAGAGCCAGGGGACTCCAACACGCCTCAGGAGCTACTGTGGCCGAGGGAGCTCAGCTTAGTTGTCCCTCTGCCTTTTTCTTGCTGGGTGACTTTGGGCTAGTAGTTTCACCTCTCTGGGCCTTGATTCCCCAACCTGTGATCAAGCATTTCCAGGCCAGATTCTGTAGGTATCTGTTGAGTGAGAAAATAAGTAGATGAGTATGGAGCAGGTATTTTGCTGGTCTAAGCAGGCAATGGCCCATTTGGATAGCCAACCATGGCGTCTCCCTTAGGTGTGAAGAAAGGGTTCTCCACAGATAGGGTGTGAGTAACAAATGTTCCAAAGAAGCCAGGATGAACGTTGTGCTCAATGATATCTATGCCGTGTTCCTTTTTTTCTTTTTTTCCTTGTTTGGTGGGGCTGAGGCTGGAACCCAGGGCCTCGCACATGCGGAGCAAATGCCCCTTCTGTGAGCTAGAAATACAGCCCCGGCCCCACAGGGTCTTTTCCCCTCTTCTTCCCTATCAACACTGTCTCTCTTATGATTGAGAAAACCATGTCAATAAAGGATGAACTTGCCATTTTAAACTCCGTGGAGTCCTGGGGTATCTGGGGTCCTGGCAGCCCAGTATAGTATCCTGGGTTGGAGGATGGAGTCATTAGCTCCACGGCTGTGGCTGTGTTGAATGAACCTGGGAGGGAGGCAGAGGCAGCATCTGGACAGGCGCAGAGTCCAGGAGAAGCTGAGGTGATGGGCAGGAGGTTGCCGTGGAGCACGTGCTCACAAAGCAGGGCGTGCGGCAGCGAGGGCCAGCAGGTGGACCCCTGGGGCCACCCAGACCCCAGTGCCGAGGAATGCCTGTGGCACTGTGCCCAGAAGGATGCTGAGGATGAGGCCACTGTGGGGACCAGGGATCCCATGTGGTCTGGCTCAGTGGAAAGTGGCCTGATGGGTTCAGAACATCTGTTTCAGCGTGGGAGGGGAGTGCAAGGGTGGGAACAACTTGCTCCTTCATGGCTGACAGAGGCTGGAGAGGTGGGGAACCATGTGCAGCCTGCTGGGAACTGGACTTGATCATGGGAGCCAGACAGGCAGAATGGAGAGAGAAGCCGCCCAAGACTAGACAGGCAGAGCCAGGAGCAGGGAGCCAGGGTTGGTGGACAGGTGGGGTGTCAGGACTGCACATGTACCTGTCGTTGCCGGACAGCCTTCGTGCCTTCCTATAGCACAATCCAGCGTGACAGAGTCAAGTAAGCTGTGACTAGTCACCAAGTGGAAATTTGATTTCGACAGAGCCCCAGACAAAAGGAGCAAATTGAGTTTGGCACTCGGGGTCACGTGGAGAGGAGGTGCACCCCCACAGCAGGGCTGAGCTTCCGTGAAAGCTCCACAGCGTCTGGCTCTGGGCCTGGAAAGAGAGATTCTAGTTTTTGCTTTACAAAGAAAGGCACCTGCAGCTCTGCTTGGCCGCATGGCTTGCCATGGTCACCGGCTGTGCTGTCAGAGTTGGAAACCAGCCAAAGTCCATGTGCTGCCCGTGGAGCTGAGCTGCTCCCTCCATATGGAGGAGGGTCTCGCCTCCCTCTGCAGCCTGGTGTGCAGGCTGCATAGTCCCAGGTAGTGACAGTGGCCAACAAGGGGCTCCTGCTGGCATGGGCCAGGCACCCTGGAGCTAAGCATGCAGGGGCCATCTCCTGCCAACCTGAGTCCACCTTCCAGTGATTTACTGTTACTAGCCTCAGCAGCAGTAACAGTCTATCTCTTCAAGGACCAGATTAATCTTCCTGCTTCCACCGCGTCACCATCTTCCAAATCTCCCCCAATCCCCACATCCCAGCTCCACGTGACCACAGGCAGAACTTTGTAAAGAGGTGACCTGATCTCCCCACCCAATGCTTTCCATTGCTCTCAGGACCCAGTGCCACTTCCCTGGCCTTGTCCCACGCCACAGCCGAGAGCTCCAGCCACCGGGGTCTCTCAACCCCCAACACAAGCTCCCCCCAGCCCCAGGCCCTTTCTTCCCGCTGTTCCTCCTGCTAGCCCACCTCACTTCCGGCTCGCACACCCCCCCTCCAACCCAGTCTGAGCAGTGGACCATAGTCAGCTGGCTCGGCCTCTCCTCCTACCCTGTACCGCTTTCTAGAGTTTGCCATAATTGATCTAAATGCCAATTAAGAGGCTTGGTTGTTGGTGACTAATTGACGCCCACTGGACGGCCGGCTCCTTCCTGCCTTGCACAGTGCCTGCAATCGGTGGGCCAACCATGGGGCAGGGCTCAGCACACCACTGGGCGGACAGCAGGGCAACGAGTGGAAACCCAGGCTCATGGAACATCAGCCAACGCGCCACACCTCCCCAGCCCCGGCTTTGCCTGTGAGAAGGAGCAGTGCATGGGGAGGGTCCCAATGTCCCTGAGCCCACCCCGCACAGTGTTTGGGGCAGTCGAGCCTGTCCACGTCAGCACCCTGGGTGCTGGGAGTCCAGGTGCCGTCCTCCAGCAGTGTAGCCGCCGAGCCGCTTGTGGCCAGTTCTACAAGGAAGGATTTCTGCCTGGCTCCTCTGTCCCTCCCTGGCAAGGACTGAGATTTGAGAATTTTACAACTGGAAACACTCACTGTTTCCTCCTTTAAAATACAATTAATGTGGGGTGGTCCCTCCTGGCATCCTACTGGGCTTCCGACCCTCCTCAAGGGTGGGAAGACAGAGCCGACTTGGGGCTGGGAGTGGAGGGACCTCCCTAACCACTTCGCAGGGCGCAGCTCCTCGTCGCACTCCACCTGGTCTGGAAATGTGTCCTCAGGGACGGGCTCTGTCAACAGCGCAGGCTGTGTTCAGACTGTGCACAGCTTTGGAGCGATTAGGCTCGCCCAGAACTAGAGGGCACGGCGCCCCAGCAGGCAAACCCTTGGCCACCAAACCCTGGTCTTCACGACGCTGATGGCAGCTTGGCTCCCCTCACAGGGTGAAGCTGCTTCTTTTTTCTGATCTTGGAAGTGGGAGGCGGGCAGAGGCAGGCAGTGTGGAGTGGCGGCTCCTCTGGGTGTGACTGGCCCTGGGCCCTCTCTCTTAGCTGATGTGCAGCCAGTGCACCATCGGAGCCCCGGCTCCCCGGCCAACTCTGCCAGGAGCCCGGCCGCTCACTCCTCTGCTCCTGACCTGGCAGAACAGCTCGAGAGGTAGAGGCTGGCAGCAGGGGCCGCGTCCTTGAGCTCCTAGTGCCTGAGAGTCAGCCTTCAGGAGCCTCTAAGCCTTAGTTTCCTGATCTGTGAAATGGAGAGGTGAATGGCCTCTGGCTGAGGGCCACTGTGGGGACCAGAGATCCCACGTGGTCTGGAGGCCCAGTGGACTGGAGTCAATAGGAAGAGTTCTGTCTTTTCCTAGACTTGGAACAAAAAGCCCTGAAGGACCTTCACATCTGGCCCAGTGGTTCCCAAACCAATACAGCAGGACACCTGGGTTGTTGTGGGAGAACCGTCTTTGTCATTGTTTTGAGAGCACTTCTAGGTCATATCGACTCTGGGAGGAAGGTGCAGAGGTGCCCCACATGCCCCGCCCCCTACACATGGGCAGTGCCCGTCACTGCGCTAACCCAGGAGGACAGACCTGCGTCCTGTCTGCAGTGGGCAGCCCGGGGCTTGGGGAGGAGGGAAGGAATGAAGAACGAGGAAGGAGACGTAGGGAAGGATGGGCAATGTAAGTTTAGCCTGAGGTTCCACACACCTTTCCAGGCCTGTCCCTTCCCAAATTCTGGGACATCTGCCACTCTTAAAGTCACCACGAACTTAGGCACTCCTGAAGGTTCCCTTGTGCACAGTTAGACAGCCCATCAGTAGGCAGAAACCTGTAATTCAGGGGCCTTTCCAGTGTTATCAACTGATGGATAATGGAGACCTGTGGCTGTGGCGTTCTCTTTGTGAAATCACAGCATAAGTCGGCCATTTTAAGGTGAATGACTTGGTGGCATTTAGCCCGTTCCATGTTGTAGGACCACTGTGTCCATCTAGTTCCTGAAGGCGACGGTTACTCTTTAATAGGTGCACCCATTCCCTGCTCCACCCCACCCTGGCCAACCACTAATCTGCTCTGTCTCTGGGGATCTGCCAATTCTAGGCATTATAAATGCCGTCATACAAGATGTGGCTTTCCGTGAAGGCTCCTTTCACTTAGCAGGACGTTCCCAAGGCTCAGCCATGTTGTGGCATATGTCGGTCTCACATTCCCTTTCATGACTGAATAATATTATTCCACTATACAAATAGACTAGATTTTGTTTATCCCTTCGTTCAGTGGTGGACAGTGGGCTGTTTTCACCTTCCAGGTGCTGTGAAGAGCACTGCCCTGGACGTTAAGCGTTGTTTGAACACCTGTTTTCACCTCTCTTGGGTATGCCCGAGGAGTGGAATTGCTGGATCACATGGTGACTCTGTTTGCTTTTTGAGAAATCACCAAACTATTTTCACAGCAGCTAAAATATTTCATGCTGCCCCTGGTGTTGTATGAGGGTTTCATTTTTTTCTCCATCTTTGCAAATACCCCTTAAGTCTTTTTATTTTTTAGATGGGTGATAGTAAGACATTTTCCTTCATAGCCTGGAAGGATCCAACAGAGGAAGAAATTGTGTGTGCTGAAGATAAATGAGATCACTGCTGCAGAGAAATTCAAGAGGACAAGAGGCACAGGCCCGTAGACCCAGTGAGGGATCCTCCAAAATGAGAAGTCTGTTAGGTGTTGGACAAATGAAATGAGAAAAGAGAACTGTCTCTGCCTTCAAGGCCCTGGAGGGTCTCTGGTGGGCTTCTCACCCCAGGGTGAGAAGCTTCCCCACTGGGCAGTGGGGAAGAAATGGGATTGTGAGTGGTCTTGCTTTAAATCTTAGTGCTCACCCACAGATGTTGCTTTGGATGCGTAGTCTAATCCTTAAACTTCAGTATCCACAGACACACAACGGAATGCTCTGCTCTAGGACTCAGTGAGGCTTATGCATGACATGTGCCTGGCATACAGTAGGTGCTTATTAAATGTAGGCCCTGCTCCTTGGTTCATTCTTTCAATACATTGTGAATTATTGGATAGAAGTAACAAATTTACTGCTATTTGCAACCTTCTTAGCTTCTAGCCCTATGCTGGGTACTTAGTAGGTGCCCCGTAAACATTTGAAAATGAATAAATAAATGAAAATAATAATAAAGAGATAGATTTCCCCTACAGGATAGTAAACATTCTAGACACTTGCTACATGGCAGGCAAGCTCAAGGGAAGTATCTCATTTGATCCCCCGGACCTTGAGGAAGTAGCTCCTTCCCCCACTCTGCAGAGGCGTGGTGTGTCCAGGGTGACTCGGCTGGGAAGAGGCAAGCTGGGATTTGGACCTAAGACATCTGACGTCCAATCCTGGGCAGTCCTCATTGTGTCCTGTCCCTCTAGGTGTGGCTAAACCGTTGGCTGACCACCCTGGAGTGGGAATCCTGTATTACAGCTAAAAAGAGCCCACGTGCTAGCGGGGTATGCAGGCAAGGTCTGAAGGTCCTGGGAAAGCAACTCTTCTGCCCAGAGGCGACCTGGGCCTTGGTGCCTGTCCTCTTAGGCACAGGAGAGCTCTCCCTGGGCACAGAGATGCCATCTTCCTAGTGCCCAGGGGTGGCAGACATTGGAGGTTGATTGCTACAGACATCTCCTGCAGGTGTCTCCCACGGATTCGATGGCTTCTTCCTGCACTAGGCCACCCCTTTGTCAACACCATGACACCAGGGAAATGGAATGAGCCCAGAGGAGGTGGCCTGTTGCTCTGAACTGATGTTGGGGAAATGTAATAGGCCTTTCCTGGTTCCCCAGAGACCTGTTTTTCCAGACCTGAGTAGATGGCTGAGCTGGACACAGCACCCCTCTCCCTTGGGGCTGGGACCCCAGGTGCCCTTCCTTCCGTACTCCCCCTGAACACCCCCCTTGGCTCCCTGTGCCCTCGCCTCTTGCAGGGATGGGCCTGAAGGTGGCTTTTCAGCCCTGGGCTGGGCTTGGATCCTGCCCTGGCTGCCCAGGTCACTCAGCTCTTGTCCCTCTGCCACTCCAGTGTTCCATGTGTCTCAGGCTGTTGAAGAGTGAGAAGAATTAGCAAGTGCGCGTCACTTTGGAGCTCGGGCGAGACGGCAACACGGTGTTCATGAAATAGCGACAAGGGCAGTGGCTGTGGCACAGCACTGCACAGGTGACTGCTCTAGGCGTTTCTCCACGGCTGAGTTCATGCCAACGTGGACAGAGGAGCAGGAGCTCCCTCCTTGTGCGGCTCACCTGGACTCAGGGCTTGCTGTGCCTGTTTCATGTGTCCCTGCTTTGGGACCCTTCCATGACACCTCATTGGACCCTCCCCCTGTTCAGGCCAGCTGGGTCTCCACTGGAACCTCCTCATGCCAAAGAGAAGGGGTCCCAGCTATCCCACTCCTCGGTCTATGCCCAGGGGACTTAATCAGCATACTATAGTGTCGCAGCCACATCAATGTTTATAGCAGCTCAATCCAGAACATGCTGAGCCACACCTGGGCATGTGTGTTAGTCAGCATTTGTCACTGTGACCAAAATGCCTGACAAAAACAACTTCAGGAAAAGTTTATTGGGCTCACGGTTTCAGAGGTTCGGTCCATGGTCACCTGATTCCATTGTCTGGGTTAGAGGTGAGTCAGGACATCATGGTGGAAGGATGTGGCAGAGGAAAACTGCTCACCTCCTGGCAGCCTGGAATCAGAGAGACAGACAGACAAACAGACAGACAGAGAGCGGGAGGAAGGAGCCAGGGGAATAAGATATAGTCCCCAGGGGCACACCCCCAGTGACCTATTTCCTCCTGCCTACAATTCCCATGGGTACAGTGTCCTTTCCCATTATTAATCCAGCAAATGGATTAACCCACTGTTGAGTTACAGGTCTCTTAATCTTAGGTCACCTCTGCACATTCCAACATTGTCTATCCCATGAACTTACTGGGGGATACCTCCTATCCAAACCCTAGCAGCATAAACCCAGTTACCCACAGATAGCTAGCCATTAAGCTTATCAAGATGGGCATCAGAGACGTTTGTGGCAACAGCTGAATGCAGTTTAATCATTAATGCTGTTGTATTTCACAATTTCTCCAGTATAACCGGATTCTATTAGAGGTGATCTGTCGGTGACACACATCCCATTTGCTCTTTAGACTGGACAGGTGAGGAGAGCCCAGGACTCTGGTGAGTGATGCTCGTCGCATTTGGAAGGGTGTCTGGGATGACTGACATTCACAGCTGGAGTGAGGGGTTTGACCGGTGAGGGATTTGAAAATCAGTCTTACAGGGTTCTGGGAAAGACTAAGCCAGAATGCACACAGGGTCAGTGGGGTGTCCCTGACAAACACTGGTACAGCATAGCAAAACCTACGCTGATGACAGTGGCTGTGGTTATTACTGCAGTGTCTGATACCCAATGTGGTCACTCCCTCTCATCCTTCTCTCCTTCCTTCCTTTTATCCTCCCTCCCTCCCTCCCACTCCTCCTCCCCTACTACTCCATTCCCTTCTTCTGTTCTCTCCCTCTTAAAACTTCTGTTTTTCACATCTTTCAGTTTCTTGTTTTGAAATTAGCTTTAGTCATGGTGAAGTCAGCAGGGGCCCCGGAAGTGAAAAGCCAAGTCAGCCACTCAGTGGAGAGCTTGGGGCCCGGGTTGGGGTTTTCTGCTGAGAGCTGGTGGCCAGCAGCTTTCGGGAACCACATGGCTTTGCTTGGTGGGGCTCAGCTTGGAGTGGACAGGGAGTACAGTGGAATGCAGGCACTTCAGGGAAGGCGGCCTTCTGTGGTCCATGCCAGAGAGGGACAGGAGCCTGCGGCTGCTGTTTGCTGACCCTGTGTACACATCCGTGCTGGCCATGACCTTTCCTTTGCCTTTATCCTTGCACCCAACACAGCTCTGTGGGAGGCTGATTTCAGGCTGTCTGGGCTCAGATCCAACTTCTGTGACGGCTTCTCCCAGCATCATGTCAGAGGCAGGGGTTTAATATCATCGATGGCAGAAAGGGTAGTAGCAGAGGTGGTTATTTAAATATTTAACCTCCGGACAGCCTAGGTGTGGGCCAATCGGACTGCCTGGAGCAGAGTTCTGGGGCTCTGCTGTGCTAGGTATTAACCCTGTCACTGCCGGGTCCTGGGGAGCATCCTGGAGAGGGACATCGTGCGCTGCTGAGGTGGCAGGTAGGCACTCAGGGGATGGGGCAGGGGGCTATTCAACCATGGGCACAGCAGCACTTTGCTCTAAAGAGCTTGTATGGCCACACTGATGGGCACCGGCAGGTCGCTAGTCTTGAAGAGCAGAGTTATCAGTGTTGTTTCTGCAGGTTGGGGAGACAGGGAGCTGACGTTCACCATGCACAGAGCTCATGCTTATTTATCTTTTGTATTTTATTTTATTTATTCCTACTCTGTTTAAGCCTTAGATAATTATTTTGAGGGAGCTTAGGGTTCTCTATTTAAACACTGCGTGGGCTCAGATGGGTGAGCCGTCTTAACCATCCCGGGATGTCATCATTGAGTCAAACCGGAAGCGCTGCACCTGTGGTCTGGGAAGGCCATCCGCTGTGCTTCCGGAGGTGATCACGATGGCTCAAGGGCACCTGACATCTGCAGTGTGCATCAATAATGAACTCACTTCACCCTCGCAACAGCCCCTGGGGTTCGTCCTGTTATTATCCCCATTTGAAACAGGAAGAAAGGCAGCACAGAGGAGTTCAGGGTCTCTGGTTGGTTTACTGGCTGTAGAACTGGGGTGTGAACCCTGAATCCCACTGTGCATGCTGCCTGGGCACACGCTGCCCGCATGAGGCCTCGAAGTGCCCCAGCAGACAGTCTCCCGCCGGTCATGAGAGGGCTTAGGGATGACAGGCATCCTGGACCCTGCCATGGTCTCGGCAGGATGAGTCCACAGTTGAGGGCTCTGCTGGGAGCAGCTCCCTGGCGTGGAGCCTTGTTGACTTAGCAGTCCTCTTCCTCTTCCTTACTGGTGGTGGGTGAGGAGAAGATCAGAGTTGATCCTGAAAGAGAAAGAAGCATGGGCCCCCACCCACGTCCTCCTGGTGTCCCACCTTCCCAGTTTGCAGCGTGTTTCCTGGGAAGAATGACAGGCTCGGCACCCGAGCTGGACCACTCCTCATCTCCCTTGACTGCATGAGGACTGCTGAGCTCACAGTCCAGGGCACCCCAGGCCCATGTTCTGGGTCCTTGTTTGTCACAGGGCAATATTTTACACACCGCAATTTACTACCGCCCACTCCATAGCTTCTCCCCCCCACTCCTGTCCCTCCCTGTACTCATTCCTTCCTCGAACACCTGTGACCACACCTGCTCTGACCTTGATTTCTAGGTGGCTCCATGTTGGATGGTTGTGGTGGAACCCAACAAAAGCCACACTCTGGTCACAGCTGGAATTGTGTTTTCTCTCCATGGGTAAACTCAAGAAGCCCGGGGAACGCTCTGAACACCCACCATATTTTCTTCCACTGTGGAGCCACGAGGGGTCCCTCAACACCAGCCCATGGCCAACCGGACCTGGGTGTTAGGGTTGTTCCCTGGATTCCCTTATGACTGCTCCTCACCTTCCTACAACTGCCCGATCGCCCTCCTCTTTCCCCTTTAGTCGGTCACTTTACCTCACACTTCATGTGGACGCCTTTGGACTATAGATGGTGTTAGACAGGATATAGAAGATGCTAGAATACAGGAAATTTGCACGGAGCTCCTGTTTTCCCACTTCCGGATCTGAAATCTTCACCACACTTACCCATGTTCCGTCCTTGCCCCCACACGCCTCCCCCCGCACGGCCCTCACCTCCTCATGGCTGAAGCTCTATGAAGACCTGTCTGCATATGGGCCCCTCTTCCAGTGCTCCGTCCCTCCAGGGCCACTCCATCCAAGTCACCCTTGAAACAGTTACCAGTGAGTGGCCTCTGTGTGATCAAATACCCTGGACACTTTTCATTCCTCTTTCTTGACTGCCCTAAATCAATGTTGACACAGATGACCCCTCACATCCTCTTAAAGTTCTTGTCTTCTCATTCTCCACACTTGGCTCTGCTTGTTTTTTTCTAACTCAGTGTCCTTTGTCACTTACCGTTCCTTGTCTCCACCCCCCCAGGCTGGGTTCCTTAGGGATCTTCTCTTTCTACACTCCTTCCCTGGGTGGCCTTACCCAGTCCTCTGTCACTAATTCCCACTTAACTCATGTCCAGCTCACACTACTGCTTGAGCACTACTCTTATTTCCAAGTTCCCAGGTGACATTGATACGTAGATGTTCCACAAACTGAAGATCAGTACTTCTAAACAACCCTTCTTTCTTCCTACCCACAAATATGTCACTTTCTAAGTCTTCAATAGCCCCTGAATGGCAATTGTCATTCATTAGACACCAAGGATTTGGCAAGCCCCTCCCAGGGCCACCTGAGTTCAGGATTCCTCATCTAACAATCACACTATGAAAGAATGGCAGCTGTCTTTGACTGACGGACAAGGAAGCAGACTCGTGAGTTAGTGACTTGCCCTGGGTCACAGTAGCAAAGCCAGATAGAGATCCAGGTCTCTGTAATGGCCTCGCTCTTTTCCCTCTACTCATGTCTTTTCAAATCCTGGCTTCCGCTTCATCATTGGGAGACCATCTTCATCCTTAGGCACATGTAGGGCCACCATGTTGCACAATTCCAGGGGAAAGTCACAATGTTATCTGTGTGAATGGTGGTCCCTGGGGTGGCACCGTGGCAGCCTTTCACATGAACTAGAATGGGAACAATCCCCAGGAGGCAGGCAGGGTGGTAGCCACAGAAACCATCACTTAGCTCCCTCTGTCCCATTTTCTCATTCTTTCCCTCTCCTCCTCCCCACCCCACCTCTTCTGCCTACCGTGCATCTCTTCAGCCGGCATTCAGTCCGACTGTGGATGGGAGATGGATCACTGAAGCCCTCAAGTGTGAGAAGTAGGGGAGGGGGTGACTCAGGGTTCTGCGGGGAAGCAGAAGCAATGGGTATGCATGTCCTCTTGTCTTTGTCTCTGTCCCCTGTTTCCCCTGGAATAGGCTCAAGCAATGGTAGGGCTAACAAGCCCCAAAGCCAGAGGCGAGCCAGCAGACTAGAAATTCCAGCAATGCTGAGGTTGTACTCTTATTCCAAAAGACCTCTGTTACAGTTTGGGGCTGAATTCCTTTTTCATAAGGGACGTCAGCTTCTTCTCTCGAGGTCTTTAGCTTAGAGGATAAGGCCTTCCACATCATAGAGGGCCATCTGCTTTACTTAAAGCCAGCTCACTGCACGTGCTAACCCTATCTAAAAGACACCTTCATGGCACATCTAGACTGTTCTCTAGACATTTGCTAAATGACAGCAGCATAGCCTAGGCAAGCTCACGGGTAAAATGAGCCTCACAGGTAGGGACCGTCCCCGATGAGATCTCAGACACCCTTAGCCCATGCAATCCACTGGCTGTGAGCTCTGGGATGCACTTGAAGAAGAGCATTCTGTTTCCAGAAGAAATCCATAGATGATCGGAGGAGGTGAGCCTTGCAGGGAAGGCAGGAGAAAGGGAAGGGCCCTCCAAGCCCAGCAGCCTAAGCTGTGGCCCAGAGGCCTGCAGATGTCAGGAAAGCAGGCACAGGGCTGGAGTGGCCCTCCAGGTGGGCTGGGGTGGGACAGGTGTGTCAGCCCTTCGAGGCAGGGCCTGCAGTGACACTAAAGTGGGGCTCAGGCAGCTCACCAACCTGCATCCTTGTCAGGCGGCAGAAATGGCTTCTGGATCCAATCAAGCTGAGTCTATCGATCCGTAGGAACGATCCGTGCGTCCTTCCAGGGTTGTATTTTCTGCGTTAGAAAGAAGAGCATTCAGAGTTTATTATTATTATTATTATTATTATTATTTAAATTTTAACTCTACTTGGCTATTTGAGACTGTTAGGGCTTAATTCCATTAAGAAAACTTTTTTCTTTTTAATTTAAAGCAATTTCAAAAACTTATCTAGTTACAGCAGTATTTTATTAGGGCCACCATGTTGCACAATTCCAGGGAAAGTCACAATGTGTGGAAAACTAGGAGAAAACAATAAGATATAAATTGGCCACAATACCTCAGCCAAGGGGTAACTGCAGGTCATTTCTGGCTGTTTCTGACCTATTTTCTATGCCCATAAATATGTGTCTGTCCCCTGAGCATCTCTACTGACATCCCCCTGCCCTCCCCATGCTGGGCCACCACTCACCTTCCACATGTCAACACGCTCTCTGAATGCTCTTCTGCTGTTTCTCTCCTCCTGACACTAGCTCCAGGAAGACAGGGGGGGGACATCCTGGCTCAGGATTATCCCCATAGCCTACCCTAGGGACTTAATATCTGTTGAATAAGTAATGCATAAATATTACATTTTAAATTGAAGTAAGAAAACATGCAAAATTTAAACAATCTAATGTTTCATTGTGTAAACCTATGTATGTATATTTTTAGTGTTGAAAAAAAGTATGTTCATTTATCTATCTTCCCTTATTTGTCAACCAAAAATGTATTCTGAGCATCTCTCCATGGCATCCAATGTTCTTGTAGAACATAATTTTTAAGGACTACATGAATTTCCATCGCGCGAATGTGCCATCATGTAGTTAAACTTTTCTGCTAGACATTTTTTATTTTTCTTTTTTTAAATACCATTTTTCTAACACACACACACACACACACACACACATGCTGCACTGAATATTTTGGACTTCCATCTTTGTGCACACTTTTAGTCCTGCTTTAGGATAAATCTTGTCGAACAAAGTTGTTGGGCCAAAGGGCAATAGAAACACATTTCCAAACTCCAGAAAAGCCGCGCAGTTTCTACTTCCGTCTCACCAGCGATTAGGGTGACGATGTGGGTGATCGTTTCCACTTGACAGGCTGCGAGATCAGCACTGAGTTTTCATTTCCACTGATTTCATTTTCACCTCTTGGAGACAGACAGTCTAGCATTTCTGAAATGTGCTCCTTCTGAAGAGAATGGTGTGGGAGCAGCCTGGGTCTAGTAAGCCCTGGGGCAGGAGCGGAATGCACCGCAGCTCAGCCCAGCCCCCATCTTGTAAATGGGCCAGAGCAGGCAGGTGCCAGGTCCCAGGGCCTGAGTGAGGACACTGCAGTGTCTTACACTGGCGTCCTTTACACTGGAACGAACCTTTTGGAGGCCATTTGGAACCACCTGCTGTGACCTGCCATCTGTGGCAACAAGTATCTAATGGCTCCCTCCCTTTTCCTCTTTCTCAGCAACAACAACATCAACAAGTCCAAAATCTGAAAAATAAACTATGGAGCTCAGAGAAAAGGACACAGCAGAGAACAAGGAAAACAAGTCGACAAGAAAGAAAGCGGTCAGTGCTGGCTTCTTGCCCTCCCCCTTGCATGGGCATTCTGGTGGCCTGGGCAGTCCCTCCTGTCCCCCTCGCCCTCCGTCCTCCAGGGTCAAGGTGAGGCCAGCAGAGAGAGATCAAGCAGGGGCTGGGAGCAGAGCCCCATGGGCGGAGCTGGGGGAACGACAGGGGGTCTGCGGCTAGGCTCGAAAGTCGGGAGCCTCCATGGTACTGATCTGCTGGTGGCTTTCTGGACTTGGGGCATTCTTAAGGTCATTTCTCAATGAGGGAACATTGATGCTGACAATGATATGTCATTGTCCTTATGAGAGACATGGAACCCATTCCCTGCTCTCTCAGATGGAGCCAGTCTCAAACTTCAACCCATGTGTGCCTTGTCACCTCCCAAGGGTGTGGACGTAACCACAAATTGCAAGAAAAGATGCCCATATTCATAATAAGTCTCTATTTGGCAGGACAAAGATCAACACAAGTCTACTTGCCAAATGGCCAGGCTAGTGTGGAATTGGCAGGCTGGACACTATGGGCCCCATACAGTGTGTAATGACGCCACCTGCCTTGGGTCACCCAAGGACATGGGAGAATTGTGTTAAGTCGACGGTGATTCCCTCTAAGTGGACACTGTATCTTTTGGTGCTTATCTTAGGTGAGCTGAGCATCCAGTGCCTAGGTGTGGTGGAATGGAGAAGGGAGGTAGTCATTTCATGCATTCTGGTTAAATGACACTCAATAAAAAGCTCCTCTTTCCCCCAACACTTCCCTGCTAGAGAACTGTCGCCATCTCTACGCCAAGGTTCTAGCCTTAGAAGTTATTTCTAAGTCAAACTTCTAGCCTTAGAACTGCCCTCTAGATGATTTGAGCTCAATAGCAAATGTGTATCCAAGGACCAGAGGCTGAGGCCGATGTGCGTTTGCTCAGGCTGCTGTGGAAAGCCCCTGAGACAGGCTGGCTTAAACAGTAGAACCTATGGTCTCACCTCTCTCGAGGCTGGAAGTCCAAGACCAAGGTGTTGACGGATTGATTCCTTCTGCGGCCTCTCTCCCTGCCTTGTAGATGGTGTCTTCTCCTATGTCCTCACATGGTCCCCCTGTGTGTGTATGTGTGTCCTAATCTCTTCTTATATGGACACCGGTCATATTGGATTAGGGCCACCAAAAGACTTCATTTTGACTCACTACCTCTTTGAAGACCCAAATACAACCACATTCTGGGATACAATTTCAGAGATCAGGTCTTCAAAATGTGAATTTGGGGGGGACTCACAGTCCAACCTGTGCGATACACACAGCCCCTGGAGCTCCTGTCCAGAGGGGAAGGCATACTCGAGTGGCAGCACATGGCCCAGAGAAGTGGCAGAGGGAGGTCCAGGGAGGCCTCCCGGAGCAGGTGGGGAGGGAGCTGAGCATTGAAGGGTGAGAACGGTTAATAGTCCGAAGGGCCTGAGCCGGGGCAGGGAAACTGGGTGCGTGGGTACTCAGCCAGTGCTGGGAATGGTGTGTGAGGAAGCACTCGGTGCAGAGCAGGCTGAGTCCAGACCCAGAACACTTCGGAACATGGGTTCTACACCTGCCCCGCCCCTAGAACACCTGGGATCTCCTTCACACCACACCTGTGCCAGGAGTCGAGCTTCTGTAGGATCTACCGCAGAGTACAGGGCCACAGGCCACACGCGACAGACACTGCTCGGGGATTTGGAGGCTGATGGCTCCACGCCCTCTCTGGACTTTATTTCTTCCTGCTTACACAGGACTAGCGCTCCCCTGGGCCACAGGGTGTGAACGCACTTGGGAGAGAAGTGTAGGTACACGGGACGAGGGGGAGGTGCAGGTTGTGGGGAGCCCTGGTTGCTGCCTCTGGTTCCTGGAGGGGCTCCACGTCCTCCCTCAGGCTTGACGCCCAGCTCTGGGGCCCACTGTGTTGACAGTCTGGTTCCTGGCACCGTTGGAGTTTGCACCTGCAGCGGGAACTATGGAGCTGCTCATACAACAGGCATCCAAGCCGGCAGCCTCCACCCGTGCCCTTCCCAACTCAAATACCTCCCCAGGCTCGCCCATCCTGAGTGTGCTCAGGAGTCACCTCTCCCAGAAAGACTCCTGGATCCAGCTGAGATTGGCGCGGTGCCTCCCCAGCACTGTCCCAGGGAATTCTCGGCCCTTGCAGGCATGTGGTAACCCAGTGCTTCTCACTGGGCTCCTGCTTTGGATCCACCATGCAGTGAGGAAGGCAGCCAGGTGGCTGGAAACCAAGTCACGAAATAGCCTGCTCTCGCAGAGGCGCCCCCACTGACCAGTGCACAGAGCAGCCAGGTTGCACTGCTCCGTGCCCCAGCCTAACTGCGGAAGTCTGTTTCCCTTTTGCTCAGAGCAGCCTCTGTCCTGCTGTAGGGCAGTGGGGGCTGAAAGCTTTCTCACCCACGTGCCATGATGGCCCCCAGGACGCCTGCAGTTCTCCCCATCTTATTTTTTTTTTCTTCTTCAATGTGTGCTTTGCATTAAACCCAGTTTGCTGGCTTCTGCCCCTTATTTGTGGCCCGAGCACTCTGAATTCACCAAGCATGCCTCTGTCCCTTCCCAGCCTCGTGTCCTCGCCATCATGAAGGTCCTTCCCTGACATTTGGGGTGAATCAGCCATGTGGGGAATTCATCCTCGCTATGTGGTGCTGAGCACCAGGTCCCAGCCTCCTGGCTCCTTTTACTGAGTCAGCCAGGGTGGTGCAAGGAGGGGCCCGCTCGGCCTGGGGCTGAGTAAGCAGGACAGAGTCATGGCAGCTCTTTGTTCTTGGGCTGCAGGGCTGCCCACGTTCATCTCCAGCATGCTGCTAGGGGTAGGGTGGGCCGTGTGTTTCTATTTAAGCCCTGGACTACCTCTGCAGGCAGCTGGAGTGAGACCAACAGCCCGTCTTGCACTGGTAATGGCAGCTCGGAGAAGTAATGTGACTCGCCTGAAGTGGAGGAGTCAGGACCTGAGCAGCACTTGAGCCAGTCATTAGGCCTCTCCCTGCCCCAGAGATTAGAAAGGTGCCCTGGGTTCATGCCAGTCTCCCCACCTCTGGAATGTTGGACTTATTAAAAAGAGAGAAATAAAATGATGACCAAGAAAAAAATCCATACCCTGGGTAAAAGTCCCCAGAGGACAGATTTCCTTTTTAGGATTTTCTCATTGCTGTAATGACTTAGAAACAAGGAAAAAAATGTTGCCCACTTCCTGTCCAAGCATGACCCAGTTGCCCCATTTCCTGTCAGGCGCTCCAGGCCTCCTTCCAGTGGACTCTGCCTCCTCATTCACGGAGATGCCCCGGCAGAGTCCGGGGTCCTGGCCGAGCCGTCAGATGGGCCACCAGGGCCCATAGTAAGGAAACCAAACATGGATTCCAGGGAACTGAGCTCTGCTCCCCTGACACACGACAGGAGCTACCTTGGCCCTCCCGGATCAGGCAGGAAGCCGCCAGAGTGTCACCACCAGAGGAGGAAGAGTAGGGTGCCAGGTGGGAGGAGAAGAAAGGTAAACACACGGAATGGCCTCCGGCCTACGGCCGCCGGCCTCCGGCCGCGGTGCACAAGGGCAGGCTGTGGGGAATGCAGGTGTGGGTGGCCCTGCGGGACACGTCTCCACCCCGGCCTGGCAGCTGTGTGGCAAAAGGGCCTTGGGCTGGCTCTGAGTTAGGGAGGCCTGGGCTTGGACCAGCCACTCTGACCCATGTGACCATGCGTGGTGTTTTGCTCCGAGCCTCTGCATCCTGGGCGGGCTCCTGGCTGCCTGGCTGTACCCAGAGAACATCCTCGTGAGGCCCTGCCCTGTGTGTGCTCTGCTGCCCCTTCTCCCTCCCCAGGCATGGCCAGGCAGCAGCATGAGCTGTCAGGTGCCAGGAGGGGGAGGCAGCAGGCTGGGCTGGCCACCCAGGGGCAGGGGGCTCCAGAGAAGCAGCTGAGGCAGGAAGGCCATGTGCCCTCCTCCACCTTCTGCCAGGGGCCCTCACACCAGGAGCTCCCATTCTGATGGGTGCCGACGAGAGGGAGGAGACCATGTCCTCTAAGGTGACCAGGACTGGGATCGAGGGAGTGTAGGGCCCAGATAATAGCCCAGCACAGCTGGTGCTGACGGCTCAGGGGAACTGGCCGGTAGGACGAGACACAGAGAATGATCTTAGAGGGAAGAGGTGATGGAGACGGAGAGCTTTTTCTGAAGGGACTCTGTCCCATCAATGGATCTCATTCAGCTCAAGCTGCTCCAACTGCAGAAAACCATGCCGGCCCCATTTCACTGGGCAACACCATCCCCCTGGCCACAAGCCCTTCCTCAGCCCTCCACCTGGTCCCTAGCACCTGCTGAGCACCTCTTGTGCAGCAGGCTCAGAGCCCAGAAGCAAAGAGCAGGGAGCACAGCAGCTGCCCTCCAACAGGAAGACCCCTGCCACCGTCCAGCCCTGGCCACTGACACTCATGGGCACCCAGCAAGTGCCAGGCTCTCTTCTGACCTGCTTAACACCTTCCCTAAGAAGGGGGTTCCAAAATCATTGCCATCTTCAAGATGAGGAAACTGAGCAGCCCTGCAACAAGCCAAAGATTACAGTCATAAGTGGCAGTTGAATGACAGATCTGTAGTAAAACAAGGAGGAGGAGCGTCCAGCAGATGGCAGGAGAGGGGAGGCTGGCTGTGGGTCGCAGGTCTGAAGCTTCTAGGAGGGGCACTTCAGGTGGACCAAGTAGAGAGAACTCTGCCTGTCTGTTTGGGAAGCAGCTGGACCAGAGGGAGTGGAGAGAGAGGAACAAAAGGAGAAAACACTGTTCTGAACACTGGTGACATCTGGCAACCACTGACCCTCAGTGACCTGGGCAGCAGTGTGGCATGTTAGTAAGAGTCCTCTTACAGGCGGGCAAGCTGGACTCTGAAAAGTCCCACGGCTTGCTCAGGCTTCCACCACTGCGTGGTGGAGCGTGGGCTGCTGGAGCCCCTCTAGGGAGGTTAACGAGGTGGTGGAGAAGGGAATTGGGATCAGGGACCTGTGTCCCTGTTCACCTGTCCTGCTCACTGTTGCGAATGCTCCCAGAGCTTCATCAGGGCCTGGCACCTAGAAAACACACAGACATGCACACTCAACGGTAAATGATGGCCAAGAAATTGTCTCCCAGAGTGCCTGGTCCCTGTCCATCTGGCCCATGTTTCACAGGGCAGCCCGGGATGGTCAGTCTTTGTCAAGGGGCCGGATGTTTCTGTCCTGGCTGTGGCCATCCTTGGATGGAGCAGCAGGAAAGGCCCCTGTGGGGGCAGATGCTTTATTCTCAGCACCAAGTTCTATCTCTCTGTCTTCAGGTCCTTATTCCAAGGTGCTTGGACCAGGCTGTCGATCCATGCCTCAGCGTGAGCGTGTGTGCGTGGGCATGCCTGTGTTCCAGACACACAGGCAGGTGGAGCTGGGGGATTGGGGAGGAGCTGCAGCTGTGACCACCGGGTTCCTGGCCCCACCCCAGGCAGCACCACAGACAACTCTGTGCCCTTTCCTCACTTCTGCAATGGGGTGCACTGGCACTGGTGGAGGGATTCCAGATGACGCCCAGAAAGCTGTCAGAACAGTCCCTGGCAGGGGGATCAGTGAGCACCGGGCGCTGCCCAGCAGCTTAGTCTAGCTTTGCTCTCCGCTCCTGTCTGGGTCAGACCCTAGCTACCTATAGCTAAAATGATGCGTGTGGCTGCTTCCAGATGGCTTGCTAAGGGCAGCAGGCGGGCTTCTGTGCTCCCCGGCAGCCTGGCTGGGAAGACAGTGGTGTGCTGTGGACCTGGAGGGAACCCTGTCTGCTGTCCCCCACCCCCACCTTTCCATCTTCTCCCTCCAGCTCCTTTTTGGCCCCAGACAAGGAATTCTATCTGGGAGGCCTCCCCCAGCTAAGGGGGACCGTCCAGGCTCTGCACCCAAGGGCCCGCGCTGATGTGCTCTCCTCTCCCTTCACAGGACTGGTCCTGCTCCCTCGTCACCGTCTCTCTGGTGGGCGCCTTGGGCTCCTCCTTCCTCTATGGGTACAACCTGTCCGTGGTGAACGCCCCGACCCCGGTGAGTATCCGTGAGAAGTCCGCCCGGCAGAGGGCACTGGGGCCACGGGGACGCTTCGCGCAGCCCTGCTTCGGGCGTTCCTATCTGCGACCCTCTATGGGCTGGTTGATCCAGACCTTGTACAGAACATTAAGGGGCAGGGGACACAGAGTGGGACCAGCGCCCGCCCTCTGGGGGCAGATAGGAGACATAGGAGCCAACAATGATGATGGTGTCTGTGTGTGTTGAGGTTCGGATCCTTGTGGCTGAAGTGTGGGTATCCTGAGGGAGTGCTGGGGGGACCCTCCCCACCCCAACCCCCACCCCACCCCCACCCGCACCCCCACCGCCGTGCAGGATGGATTCCTGAGGACTCTAATGCTGGGGAAGGAGCAGGAGAGACCTTAAGCCATGGAACTTGCACGTTGTCTCGACTTGCTCTCTGTTATCTTCAGATTATCACTCCTGTACCCAAGACCCCTCTGTGGCTTTTGCTTTAGCCTGAAATCAGAGCTAGGTGCCGATGCCCCAGGCCTCCTTCACAGGTGCTGGGTGCAGTGGGTTTGTTCCCTTACCTGAGCTGTTAGGGTGCTGCTCGGCTTCTGGGCGCGATGGATGTGTAAGGGAGGATCCCCGTGCAGGTGGTGGCTGAGCCCAGCCTTGGAGGTGGGGGACGGCAGCCAGGCCTGAGGTCTGGGAACAGCTAGGAGACACAGGTAGCTGCAGGTGGCTGCAGCCCTGGTGTGTTTGGGGGGTGCACAGGGCTAGACAGGTTCATGCTTTTTCTTATTTGGGGGCCAGCACCCCTGCATGCCAAATACAGGGGGGCCAGGGCCTGTGGGTTCCCAAAGGAACCCTGGGATTTTGTGGAGGCTCTATTTGTCCTGGAGCAGACCTGGGTTCTGTTTAAAAGTTCTGTTAACTGTCTGAAGTTTTGGAGATCTGTGAAGTTTGATCTGGAAAATTGGCTGTGTGCTGAAAAGTGCTTGAAAATAGGGGCCTGGTGGCATCTCCAGGTACTTGGAGCAATCCGCATTTAGCTTTGTCATTGTAGTATCATCCTGAGAAGGGGCTCTGACTGGTCCTGACTTGTCTCTGAAAGAGGACCGGGAATTTGGACTCTGCTTCATCCATTCAGGGTGTGGGAGCCTTTGCACGCACAGTTTGTTGAGAAGACATGGGAAATTTGAACTTGGAATAGCACAATGTGTGTTTCCACAGTGATGGTGGGGACAGGAGGGAGGACCAATTCTCATTGATTCTTGCAAATATTTATTGAGCACCTATCACATGCTGAATGCTGGGAATTGGGGCAGGCAACCTGGAGGAGGCAGCATTTGAGCTGAGCCCTGAAGAACAGGGAGGGGTGGGGAGCTAAAGCACACTGTCTGGTGTGTCATTTTGGTGGCATGTTGGGGACAGTAGAGGTGTGATGTGCAAGTGGAAAGACGGGATGGAAGAAGAGGCGGGAAAGCAGGGTGGATCAGGGGAAGACCTCAGCTCTCAGCGGAGAAGCAGGATTATGGTCTATGGGTGCCGAGGAGCCATGGCACATTCAGCAGGTGGGACAGAGGAGCAAGCGGGTAGGAGATAAAATTCAGACCATCCATGTTACCTCCATTTCACCACAAGCAAAGAGAGACACAGAGTTTAATCAAATTGCTCAAGATCATGCAGCTAGGAGAAGGAGGTGCTGGAATTCAAACCCAGCTCTGCCTGAATCCAACCTGTGCCCCTTCCACCCCCATGATGGACCACAGGGCCAGGACCCCACAGCCCAGCATTCTGGAGCCTTGGCAAGGTCAACTAAGGCAAGGAATCAGCCAGGGGAGGTGGGAGGGGCCACAGTGCACCGAGTAGGCTGTTCCCTGCCATGCCCACCACCCCAGTGCCTGTGCTGGGTTCTCTCCACAGCAACTCCAGGGTCAAGGGCGAGTTCCGATGATGCTCAGTGGCATTACAACAGGGACCTAGATTGTCAGAATCCCACCTGATCCTCCTGCAAGGAGCCCTCATTGCAAGGAGCCGTTCCTGTAACGCCACGATCCAACAGAAAAATGAAAGGCAGCTTTATTGTTAGCTGACCAGCTCCCCAAGTCTTGCCTTCCCATGGAGGCGTGGGGCATTGTAGCCCCTTTTTCTGTCGGAAGGCCCCAACGTCACAGGTTTCTAAATGTTTCATGGGGCAGGCTCCATGGGGCAGGCAGCCTTCACTGGGCATCTGCCTTGCTCTGTCATGTGGTCAGGTGCTTGTTAGGGAGGTGAACAGGACACACGTCCACATCCCCCGGGGGGCCCAGCAGCAGCAGCAGGGACAGACACTCCAGAGTTCATCCCACAGAGAGAGGCGGGCTGCAGGGGCCTGTGGAAGGACTTCATCCTACCTGGGGAGTCGGAGGGCCTCGCTGGGGCTTTCTGGGCATGATGAAGACCAGGGAGTGGCTGTGTGCGTCCCGGGGGGGTGAGGGAGGAGGCAGGGCCGGTGCCAGCTGGAGAAGGGTTGCAAGGGCCAGGCCTGGGGCAGGATCCAGGATGCCCGGGCTGTGAGCACAGAGGCAGAGGAGGCAGGCTGAGGGCCAGACTCACCCCGGTGCCCTCCCAGGGCAGAACCACCAGCAGCGGGAGCCGGCAGGTCTGCACAGGAATCCGGGCCCCGCCCCTGAGCTGCCTGTGCAGAGTGGTGGTGTGCACCCTAGTGAACTAGTCGTGAGAAGGAAAGCAGACGTGATGCTGGAGCAGCTCAGCCAGGTGTCCATCGGGCACTCTGATCCTCTTCCCCTGCGGTAGGCAGAGGGCTGGGGAGCAAGGCTGCCCTAGAGGCAGGGGGTCAGAAATGGAACAGGGACTCTGAGAAATGGAGCCCTTCGCAGGCCAGAGGACCGAGCCTGGCAGGGCGTGGGGCATTGGGCTCTCAGGAGAGCCAAGGAAGGCCTGGGACAGAGAGGCGTGGATACTAGGGCTATGGTTGCCACCAGGGGCCGCTGTTAGAACCAAGATGCCACATGGACACAACCCTGGCATTAGCACAGGCACAGGCTCCTCAGGCCCCTGCTGGGCCAGCCTCTGCTAGGGATAGCTGTGGTGCAGGGCATGGGCAGGGGGCTCCAGCTAGACTTCCCAGTCAGGCAGTGTCTCACTATCTGTGCCATTATACCCACATACACACCCTCCTTCCCAGTTACAGTTCTGGGGAGCCACAGCTAATCCCCCTGTATGGAAGAGGGCACTGAAGCAGGGGAGGTTAACGTGGCCAAGCTCCGAGGCTGGCCCATTTCCTCCTCAGTACAGTCACCCTACATGAACTGCATCCTGCCCACCTGGCTTTCAAAGAATCCCCAGAATCTGACTGTATGGGACCCCTTTGGAGAGAATACCGGGTGTCTTGTGCATCCACAAGCATCTGGACCAATTTGGTCCCTCTGGATGTGAACTGAGTGTGCACGAGCTCCTCAGAGGACCCCGTGGGTCTTCAGTTATCTTCCCTCTGATGGTGCAAGAACAGGACATAAACCTTCAGGAAATTTTCATTGTTTTTGGCTGTTGAAAGCTGAGCTTCTGTGCAGGGGGAGGAGTTGATGGCTTTGATTGAACCCAGCTGCTCCCCTCCTGCAGGCCCATCTGTAGCCTGGCACACCCTGGGGTCTTCTAACCTTCCAGTCTCCACCCGGACTCCTGCAGTTCATTCTGCACTGAAGCCAGAGAGGCACCTTGGACAAGTTGAGGTGGATCATATTGAGCCTCTGCTCAGAATCCGCGGCTACCCATCACACCCAGAAAACAATCCACACTGCTGTGGCCCGCAGGGCTGGGGTTGCTCCTAGTCACCTCTTGGTTCTCACCTTCTCACCACCCAGTACTCCTCCCACTCCCTTTGCTCCATGCACATGGCCCTCTGCTGTTACTGGTTGCCGCCCTCCAGACCATTAATATTTTAAGTTTTGCAAAATCATATGGTCTTTTTGCAACTATTCAACTGTGCCTGTGCACTGAAAAAGCAGACCTAGACAACCTGTAAACTTGGGGGCGGGGGAGGCTGTGTGCCAATAAAGCCATGCACAAAGGCAGGTGGTAGTGGGGAAGTGTTGTCTGATCCCTGCGCTTGGGGTTCTAGGAAAGGCGGGGCACCTGTAGAATCTCGCCATCTCTAGACCTCTGGGCAGAAGGCAGGCTGGCTGGCTGCACTGTTCTTCCGAGGCCTATGCTCTGTGGCATCTAACATGGGGGATAGATCTTCCTGCAGCCATTGTGTGCATTAATTGCCGATCATCCGGGTTTTTGTTTTTTCAGTTTCCAGTGTCTAATTCTAATTGGCATAGCAAGCTACTTAGCTAGCCATCATCTCTATCATCTACCTGTCAATCTATCCTCCATCCATCCACCTATCTACATATGTATCTAAAGCATTCTGAGGGCCTTGTAAGAGACTGGCCAAGAGCTGGGAGAAACAGCTCACTGGTAGAGCATTTGCCTAGCAACCACAAGACCCTGGCTTCAGTCCAAGGCCAATCTGCACACAAGTCAGATGCGTAGGATGCCTGCCTGGATTTTTAAGCAGCCGAGCAAGCGGACTGAGGATGCTAGTCTGGAACCTGGCGCGTGGTCTCAGATTTATGTCATTTAAGCTTTGACCTTTAGTAGGAGAATGTGGCTCTTCCAGAACCTGCTTCATTAGTACTGCCAGAAGATCTGGGACGGCAGAGTTGTAGTGGGAGGTGTCTGGATGGTACTGTGGGCCTGGTGTCTGCACGCCCCCTGTGAGCCAGCCAGTGAGAGCCAGGTAGACAGGAAGGCTGTGGTGGGGTTTCTGAGCCCCAGGGGATGCTCTCTGGAGGCCCAGGCAGGGCTGGGCGGGGAGATCAAGTCTGGGCAGGGGATGGATCATAGCGCCTCTTGTGTATGAGTGTCATCCAGAGGGAGCCTACAGGAAGGCTCTGGAAGCAACATCCTAAAGAAATGCAAGCTCCAAGCCAGGGTGGACAACATGGAGCCCAGGTTCCAGGACAAAGGGGCCCGGCAAAGTC